TTATATGAAAGATATGATTGTATAACAAAGCAACAAAAATTAGTCCATCTTGCTTTGTTACATCTTACTCAAGCTCTATTAAAAATTTGGGTAATTTTTAGCCTATGCACTTCTAGATTCAATATGATTAAAAATGAATAGTAATATGTATATGTATATATATACCCATAAATTTAGTATACCTCTCTTATAAAACAAATTGCACATACTGAAAATGTCTTCATTTCAATATTAAGACAGTAAACAATGTGGTAAAACTATAATTAAAATTTAATTAATAATAGACCAGATTTTTAAGTTGTTAGAATTTTATTTTTTTAATCTAAATTAATTAAAATTAATAATAATCAAAAGTAAAATATATTTGTCAGGTCCCATTTCTCTTATTAATATCATGAACAGGCAACTCCAGCCATACATTGTATATATATTTGTGAAAGATTTATGTATGTATAAAATATATTTGTGGCAATTTAACTATTCTTATTTCGCTTGTGAGGCTAACTATAGTGATGGGAAATATTTGCTTACACGCAAGGAAATAATTTACTACTGTATTTTAAAATACAAACTGGAATAAAAAACCACATCATCTAAATGAATGTGGGTAAATGAAATTCTTATACTCTTCTACAACATTGCTTTTTTAAATGACAAGATAGAAGACTAAAAATTTTAAGCTACGTGGGCATGAAAAATGAAACTTTTCATAAAGCTTGTTAAGTCATTCCTTCTAAAAGATACATAACTAACAGGATTATGAAAAATAATGCAAGTGATTTATAAGGTGGAGAGTTTTTTCCTCTTTTAATGCTATTTTTATAAAGGATTTTCACTTATTAATATTTTAATTCTGGAGCCCTGGTGGCAAAATGGTAAAGAGCTTGGCTGCTAACCAAAAGCCGGCAATTTGAATCCACCAGCCACTCCTTGGAAACCCTATGGGGCAGTTCTACTCTGTCCTATAGGGTTGCTATGAGTTGCAATCAACTCGCCGGCACACAACAACAAACAATATTTTAATTGATACTTTGCACCATCTTGGGTAGAACTTGCATCTCCTGTCACTATACTTGAACACAAACATCCTGAGTCTCTGTTATCTGAAATTAGCCTCCACACTCCCTATGGTTGTTGCTGGTTTACTGAAGCAATATGTATATCCTATAATTTCAACTTTTATTACCAGTGATCCCATTCTGCCACTGTGATCAAAAGTATCTAACTGCTGATCATATTCTTTGTATTCGTTTCACTTTTCCCTCTAATCTCTGTTAGGTTCTGAGCTCATGCCCAAAGCGCTCTCCACCAGGATAGTGGGAGGCATTTGGTGGTTTTTCACACTTATCATCATTTCTTCGTATACTGCTAACTTAGCCGCCTTTCTGACAGTGGAGCGTATGGAATCCCCCATTGACTCTGCTGATGATTTAGCTAAACAAACCAAGATAGAGTATGGAGCTGTGGAGGATGGAGCCACCATGACTTTCTTCAAGGTAAGTTTTATTGGTTACAAAAAATCTGTGTATTAAATTGATAAAGCACAAACAGACCTTTCTCCATTCATGAATGTAAGGACACAGCAACACTCTTATTTGTGCAGAATAGCATACACCTCAGGGGTGGAGAAGTATACAGCTAAATATATGTCCATGCAAGGCAAAATATTTTACTATTTGAAAATGGTAAGGAGTTTTTGCTTTACAGGTATTCTTGTTTGGAAGAAAATCTGCTCAAAGGTAACATGGTTTTTGTGTTTTGTATTTTTTTTTTCAAAGTCGTTTTAATTTTGAATTTAAAAATATAAACTGATGTATTTCTTGAAAATTGCATAATAGTAGATTCAGATTCTACAAGACTTGGCTATTCCAGAAAAATGGAATGATTGCATGTAAGAATGTTTCTCATGCATTTCTTTCTGTTGAGGAAAGGCAGGGAGAAGCCTACAGAAAAAGGAGAGAAATAGAAACTATAGGAAAAAAGAAAGGAGTCCTGGTGGTGCTGTGGTTAAGCACTCGGCTGCTAACCAAAATGTTCAAACCCATCAGAGCCTCTGCGGAAAAAGATGTGGCAGTCTGCTTCCGAAAAAGATTACAGCCTGGGAAACTCTGTGGGGCAGTTCTCTGTCCTATAGGGTCTCTATGAGTTAGAATTGACTCAAGGGTGACATGTTTAGGAAAAAAAAGAAACAGTAATTATTATCTGTACATTCATCCATCTAATATTCTGGGAAGCACAGTGCCTTAAAGTGGGCTACAACTTTGAACTTGCAGTGGTTTCCAGAGGGATAGCCTGGTGGAACATTTAAATGGAAAGTGTGCTTTCACCAAGTTCTGGCATACAGAATGCTTTGTCTGCCTCTTCACTATCTCTCTTACTCTTACTGATTTCACCGGACCAGAGTAGTCCAGATGGGAAGATTCCACTTTAGGGAGTCAGTATCACTTAGTAATTCCTTTTATATTTTAGTTTGGGTTTGGGTTTTATATATATATATACATATATAATTTTTTTAGGTCATATGTATAATTTTTTTATGTTGGGAAAATTGTTAAGCATAGATATTTCCTTTCAGTACACACAAAAATGCAACTGTCAGTTCAAACATGTAGTGGCAGTGGTTAACTTTTTATTCTTTTTAAATAGTCAACTCAAGCTCTGAAATAGATTCTTTCATCAAGTATTAATTTAGTGCCCACTGAGTGCCAGAAATAGCACTATACTTTGGGCATTCTATAGCAAATAAGATCTAATGCTTCATTTCAAGAAGATTATAGTGTAGTTAAGGAGCCTTGGTGACACATGGTTAAGCATTCAGCTGCTAACTGAAAGGTCGGTGGTTTGAACCCACCCAGCAGCTCCACAGGAGAAAGACCTAGTGATCTGCTCTCATAAAGATTTCAGCCTAGAAAACTCTATGGGGAAGTTCTACTCTGTTGCTACTCATAACGTGGTTGCTATGAGTCAAAATCGGCTTGACAGCACCTAACAACAACATAGTTTAGTTGGATACACAGAAGAATAGAGTAACAACCATAGAACAGGGTTTTATGTGAATTAAAACAGTTTGGCCAAATAGTTATCTGATTTTCCTTATCAAAATTCTGATAAAATTAATTTTTTTTTGGAGGGGGGATGTTGGAGTCCTGGAAGACACCAAAATTTCAAAGAATAAATAAGATAGATCGATACTTCAGTCATAGTCTATCTCATTTTTAAATTTGAATTATTTTTCAAGTGAATTTCTAATATGGCTAGATTAAAGATTTCATGCATATTTTATGTTTTCATATGGGAAATCACTATCATTTAATCAAATTGAGTAATCAAATATTAGCAAAACTAATGTTCTATATGACGCTTTTTGCTATATTAGTTGCAATTGATCAATTTTTCCCAGTAGAATATTTAGATTTATAAAAGATGAAAGTGTAACATTTTGTTTCCCAGAAATGAGCTGTTGAAATTGCTAAATACACATTGTATCAACAACTTTGTGATGAATGATTATGTGATGAATTTAAATTATTCCAATATACAAAGGACTTTTGAAGTTGTTTGTAAAAGCACACAAAGAAAGTACCTAACTTGAGTGATATGACACCGAAAGTGTTTATTCTGTTTTCATAAATATTTCAGTCTTAATTTCACTTTTATTTTTTCTGAAGACTTGAATACCTTTAGTTTCAAAGCTCTTATATACCATGAACAAAGTTTATCTCTAAAAAACTCAGTTCCAAAATAAATTTCTTTTTTCTTACCTTTATATCATTTTCCTCTTTTAAACCTATTTTCCCCCTTTTTTGCATTTCCAATCTTCTGTTCCTGTCTTTTTTTTTTTTTTGAAATAATTCAGTCGCTCTCCACAGTGTCCGTTTTTGCCTACCTGTACCTTTCCGTGCTACTGACTTTTCTTCTTATTCTTTTATCTCGTTTTTCTCTCTCACACACTCGGTGCTTCTAGCACCTGGAGGAAATTGACCTGAAACAACTTTCTGCTTCTAATAGCACAGAATTTTTCTTTGAATTGAAACCTTTTGGAATGTACACCAGTCACAATAAAAAACACACAATGATAACTGCTAAGTTGACAATTACCTTATGTTGTCAACTTTATCACAAGGTGAATTCTTATTGTTATAATTAGAAAAAAACATCAGAACTTACCACGATATATTAAATGTTGATTTTTCATTAGTTATCTCAGGGTAGCCTTAGACTATACTAATCATAAATTCATATTTTGGCTTGTTAAACTATATGTTCACTCCAGCCATGGATGTAAAATAATAATTTAAAAAATCCCTAACTATCTGGAATTCAAGCAAATGCATGCTCATTGTGAAACTCTACAAGGGACTATTGTGTATAGTCTATTTACATTTGATAGCGTTCTTCTATTTTTAATTAACAAGAACATATACAGACACTCTAGGAAGCACCCTTAATCCAAAAGGATTTTCCATCTTGTTTTTACTAATTTAACAAGAACCTGCTGTTAGCTAATTGTTCTGGAATGTTCAGTTCCAGAAAATTATTTTAAAGGATGACATAGTTTTGTTACTACAAACAAGAAGATCTGGCTCAAGATTCCTGATCTTAAAGGAGATAAGCCTTCAGTATTGCAAAGACTCAGGCAGAGTTATACAGCTGTTCTACAACATTGAATAATTCTATTTCCAAAGAACATGCTTGACTTTACCTATTATCTCGTATGTATATTGTCTTCAAGAGGAGTTTTTTTTTTCTTCTTCTTATTTTCCCTTACATCAATTATACTCCACACACACTCTCGCCAGTGACAAGTGTAGAACCATCACCATGACTGGCAAAATAATTCAAAACCCAACAGATGGTGGTGGTTCTCCAGTGTTATCCTATGTAAATAATAAACTGTATGACATCATCAATATGTTCTTAATCATATTTAGATAATAAAATAGCTAAGAACACAGGGGTTTTGTTAAAAAACAATGATGGAAGAGTCAAATCCTCCTTCTTTGAATCTGGGAATTTGGTGTACTAAAACTAAAATCTCACCCAAGGGCTGAACACTACTCAAAATGTTACAGCCAACAAGTATATAGTTTTCTACCCAAAGTATAAAAATTAATAAAATTAATACATAGAGATTACATGCTCAAAAAATGACTCAACAGTAGCTTGTAAGTCTTATGGTCTCTTTTTAGAGTTTCTATACTTTCAAAGTGAATCATGTTTTACTAAATGGTGCTGAATAATCATGTCTCTATGAAATCTGTGACTCAGGTTTTCCAATTTCCACAAATTCTCTGTCTGGCCTTAGCCCACCTAAAGTCTCTGGTTTTGCCATATGTACTTAATACAGTCTGTCCATCAGAAAAAAACAAATGTTATCAATGAAGTATGTCCTCTTGTTGTAGGGTTACTAAACAAAATGAGGCCACACATTGAGAGAAAATTTAAGTGGTATCAAATATCTACTGTAAATTGCCTAATTCCACTAGAAATATACAGTGCATTTTAGAATAGTTGTTTAGAATGAAGAAGATTGTAGAATCTGCTTAATTCCTGGCTTTACCACCTATATTTGGTAAGGACACTGACCCTTGATAACTACCTCTGACTCCTTACCTTTAACTATAATGAATAACAGGAATATTCTAACAATATTTTTTTAAATATTAAATGGAAGCTTTACCTGGCATACTGAGCACTTAGTAAGAGCTTGATAAATGTTAAATATTACCATTACTAGAATATGTGGATAATTTAAAAATGCAGAATTTAGAATTATTTTAAACACAGTAAAGCAAATTATGTTTGCATGACCAAAAATTGTATAAATATTTTTAAATTGATTTAAAAAGAGATCATACCATGTTTCGAATGTGTTTCTCTGATTTAAATTGCTTTGTTCTTCTAATTATTGTTGTCATAAAACAAGAATAATTTAATAAGTGAAATAATAAAGATATGGGGGAGTTTTTAGGTCTTTTCTTGACTATTTTGCTATGTTATATCAAGTTGCAGTTAGCAATTGTTTTGGGAATGTATGCCAAAACTCAGGTAAAGGAATTAAAAAAATATATTTAATGTAAATAATTTTCATCCTTATTTACAATTTTTTTTTAACTTAATCGTTATGTGTCTCATGTAGCCAGCATCACCATTTATCTTATATTCCTAATCATAAGATGTGAATGTTCTGTCGCAGGAAATCAAGTTTTTGTTCAATAAATATTTGCTGAGAACCTCTTGTGTGGTAGGAATTATGTTTAACTTTGAAATATATCCTGCATCTCCAAGCACCTCCCAAGACCTGTCCATTCTACTCTCTATGTATCTTTCTGTTCCCTTCACTGGTACCCTGACTGAGAACCATATCATCTCTCTCCAAGGTTTTACAATAACCATCTAAGTTTTCTTCTCTTCTAGTTTTGCCCCTGTTGTTCGCGACTTTATAACCAGAGTGACTTTTTTAAAAATACTAATCTGATCATTCCTGGCTTCTGGT